TCACGCAGGCTACCTGACTGAAAACAAGTCCAAGATAGAATCTCGTGGGCCATGCATGTAAGTGCACTGTGAGGTCGGTCATAGGTCTCCTTCGTGCTCTTATGCTAAGCCTGCCTGTGAAAGACCTTGGCAACTAAACCAGCTGCTGAATGGTGATACCCACTTCCGTGGGCAGCAGCTCATGCATTGATGTGCCTGTTCTGGCTCATCCTCTTGCCAGTTCGTCGATGGACAAGGACGTCTGAGGACTTTTGCTGAATTCACTGCCCCTGTTTCACTCTTTTCATGCCTACCTGGCACCTCGAGTTACTCTACAGGTTGCTCCCTTTCCGTTTTGTGTGGTTTTTGGTTGTGTTTGGGTTTTGTGGGGGCTTGTTCGGTTTTCTTTCTTTCCCTGTTCGGTTGCAACCTGGCTGGTAACTCTCTTTTCACTCGACTAAGGTGACTTGTGCACAACCTGCACACACAGCGCCTCCACTCGTGCAAAAAAAAAGGCAAAGGCAAGGGCAAAAGCCAGTATCAGGGTAGCTGGCAGAGCAGCTGGAACCAAGGATGGGGACGATCCTGGACCTCAGGTTCTTGGGACTGGAGCGGATCCGGATGTTCCTCGTGGCAGGGAGCAGCTGCCTTGTCATCTTCCTCCGACTGGTGGTCTGAATCCAAGGGAGGATGGTGGAGCCGATGAGATGCCATATAAGAAGGGATTGAAGAAGCAGAGATTACCCTCTGGCCATCCGGACCGGAAGGTCACGCCGGAAATCAAAATTCGTTGGCGTGTCAATTTCCATGTCCACATGAAGCGAGCGGGAACGCTCTGCCGTGACTCCTTCAGTCAGCTAAGTTTGCGTGTAATTCGATGGCGTTTGCAATCTGCGTACGTTTCTCTCGAGGTTGGAACGGTAGGAGTTCCCGATGAGACAAGCGTGCCGGAAGGCATCGCCGTCATTCTTTGTGAGACCTCGTTGCTTGTTGCGACTTTTGAGGTACTTTGCCAGACCTGCACAAGCGAAGACTTGTCGCATGCTCCGCACCAGTGAAAAAGGATCGATTGCCAGATTTGCTCTCGTCTTGAACTGATAAATAAGAGCATTTTGCATTTGTGCCGACTTGCAGCATTCGCATGGAGTAGTTCGAGGGTTGTAGTGCGGTTTGATTTCATCGCCGCCTGAGGTTGGTACGTGACCACTTCGTGACTCCCTCTTCGGTGCAACGCGGCAAAGCCGCTCCGCGCCGCGGGGGGTGTTTTTGCTAAGTGTCACGTACACTACTGTATATACATACCTCTTACCCCGGACTTTGGCTCAAGGAAAAGCTGTGCGCTATTGGCTGATTTCCTGTAAACATAGTTGCGGCTCTCTGTTGAATTGCACGCCACGTTTTTTGTGTGTGGAAATTCTACAGCAACACACCATAGTGCGATTTTAGGTCGTCACGCCAACAAACTTGGATGCGAGTGAAAGACTTCTTGGCTGTGGACAAAACTGGCTTTATGGCTGAACCACAGTGCGTGGAAAAAATAGGCATGAGAGGGTTCAGTTTGCAAGAGATTTCGATCGTCAGCGGCGCGCGTTTAGGACCACCCGGCGTGTTGTTTAAGTGAGAAGTTGTGAAGTTGCGTGATGTTCCCATGCCATTGAAGACTGTTGCCTCAAAATCCACAAAGAAGAGGTGGTTTTTTGCTTTCAATCAATTGCAGTTCAATCTCAGTTGGCAACAGTCATGCGACTGGAAGTGCCGTGTGTGTGTGTGTGAGCAAACAGGCACAAGACTCGCATTGGATTTATTGACGTTTTGAGGATGTTTTTCAAGCTTCCATGAAAGGAGGGAGGCCTTGAGTTACAAAGCGGCTTGCAGGCTCAGGTTGTTTTGTTGCAAGAACTGAGCAAGATGATTTGTTGTTGTTCCACCAAGTGGAAGCGGCGGTGAAGTTGCGTGATCTCCCCATGCCAATGAACACGTCCCTTCGGAATCCAAAAAAGGGAAGAGTGATGTTGCTTTGTGTTTTTTGATTTCAGCCAACTGCAGTTGCAGGGCAGTTGCACTGGATTTAGGAACTCCGGTCGGATTTCATGCTTAAAAGAGCGATGCAAACCCTTGTAAGGAGAGCTTGTTGGGAGTTTTTTGTTCGTGTGCGTTTTTGGCAATGTTTCCACACAATTGATCTATGTAGATTGTTCTTTCCTGTTTCTTTTTCTGTTTTGTTCGGAGGTTTTTGGCATGCTTGTTTTGTGAGTCCTTCAGAAAACATCAAATTTTGGACCCCGTGGTTTGGCATGATCTTGATTTCAATCAGGCCTTGGTGGTCGCTGTGAGCTTGTGTGACGCGCGCGGAACATGTCTGCATCAAACCGTTGTTATGATTCAGCCTTCGAGGTTGAAGAACCGTTCTGTTGTTTTCGGTTCTGCAGCAGAATCCATTCGTTGGACCGTCCTTGCGTGCCATGCCGATGTTCCTCCTTACGCTGTTCCTATTGGTGGAATCGGCGGAACACTGCGAAAACTGTGAGTCTACAGCCTTCCTGCAATACCGAGAGGTGACTCACGTGCCTTGGGAACCATTTGCGCAGGTGGTTCCAGATCTCAAGATTTGAGATCTTAAAATGCTGATGCATTCATTGGATGATCATGAATTCTATTGGTCCGAAAGATTCACTTTCCCAAACTGTGCGCCAGGTCCGAAGAAAGGTACCACTTGTACGACAACAAGACAAACCGGTCTGTCCGGGTTTAACATATTTTTTTCTTTGATGGTTATTGGGATTCTTAAGGATCGTGCATTTGATGCCACATTTGTTTGGTTAGGTTTGAACTGGTTGCAACAGTGTTGAAAAGTTGAATAAAGGATTGTGCCTCAAGAATGGCCATTGTACCAACACATGTTTGCCACTGTGGAGTCTTGAGGGTCGATCTGGCAAAGTCTTCGAAAACTACACCGAAATGGCGACATGTCAATGAAAATCGTACTGAGACCAGACATCATCTGAGGGCTTGGATCTGATGACGACGAACACAACGGGAGGACATTGCGAGAAATGCGTCTGCGAGTTTCTCGAGAGCATCCCGGAATGCGGCTATGACGCCTGGCTGCCGGACAACCTATGTATATATACACACGTTCTTCTAGTCTAGAGAATTGGTGCATCAAGCAAAACATGAGAGGCATGTTTGACAATCGAGGCCCTAAGGACACACGAAGCTAGTCAAACTTGAGGGTGCCAGCGGACAGCGAAGAACACCTGAACCCCCCGCATGACACCAAATGGTGAGCGTTGCTTCTCAGCGTGACCTGAGCGGGACGTGCCAAATTTCAGCGGCACTTTTTTGATTTTGTTTGTTTAACATGGTTGCCAATCACCTTTCCGTCACGGTCACGGCCTACGGTGGAGGCATTTTTTTTCCAAGAATCTCTTCAGCTTCTTTGAGGACAACGGCATGAACCCGGTTCTCTCCAAACCCCTCGGATCATCGAGCGGTTTTTCTTTTTCTCGCCCGGTCAGGAGGTGGTGAAGGATGCGACGAAGTGCGGAACTGAAGTGGGGAAATGCACTTGGGCACCTTGGAGAGGAGAAAGTTGGAGGTGGAGTTGATTCCTTATCACCTTCACGCATAGAGTGTTTCGGTGCAAACGGTTGAGCTTTCGCGTGCGCATGCACAGTAGAAATTGGTAGTCCGTTCACCCAAAGCCTCCCTTTGGTCAGTACAGTAACCTGATGTTTAGCCGTGTCTGCGCGCGCAGACACGTGCAGAGCGGCATGGTGAATACGAGGGATGTGATGGCAGAGAAGTCAATGGCCATGGCTGTTTTGGTTGGTCCAATCAGTGTTTGCATATGGAGTGTTGTAGGATTGTTGAGGTCATAGGCCTCTTAAAGCGCCTGATTCGGGTCTTCCTTTTCCTCAAGCCTGCAAGGCGACACCACCACGTTCCTAGTAGTTGAACACTTGAGTGGCCCGTGTTTTCCATTTTTGTCGTTGTTTTGAAGGATGCACATATATAGTTCTAAAGTCTTGTTGGTCTGTCATTGACTGTCAGCATGACCCCAACGTGACATATAGCAGATGAAGCGCTAGTCCTGCTTGGCGATTTGGCTTACCCACTAGCCAAGTACAGCATCAATATCAGCGTTCCCCTGCGAAACTAATCTTCAATATCACTCTCATTGCATGGGTGTGACACAAACCCAATTGAGCCGGGTGTGTCTTCTTCAAATTCACGACTGCTCCAACCGCTCCTTTCGGTCCTTCTCTTGGAGACCCACATTCAATGCAGCAGGGGTTTGAGGGAAAGATGCCGAACGGGTGCTGCTGGTGTGGAACTCGAGTCCATGGACCTCTAATGAAGATGTTTAAAGCTGTTGTTCTTCATATGGAAAGTTGTTCTTGCCTGGACTCTCTTTATCAGTGGCCCTGCGCAGACTGTACGTGCTGTGCCTATTGAGCTTTGTTTTGGTCCTCCTGGCTTTTGTACTGGTGATCTCTTCACACCCGCGTTGCAGCGCCGCAGTCCATCGGTTCCAGATTCTCGGTAACCTCATTTCTGTGTTCCATCCTGATTCTCTGACTTTCTTGAGAGATACAGTATTGCATCTCTCAAAAAGATGCCAGACATCGTGTAGATGTTATTTTTTCCTGCTTCTTTTATTCATGCTGTGTTCAGCCTGTTTTTTTGCAGAGCTTTTAGAAAAGCGTGGTGCAACACTACACCTGATGGCCTAGCAAAGCCTGGGACTTCTGAGCCCAGAATGGACTCAGGTGATTATCAAAAAGGGTGCGAAGTGCATCTTGAAGCCGAAGAAATGCAAGAAGAAGGTTTGTCAGCAGCTCTCTGGCATTTGAAGAGTCTGTTTCAGTTGGCAAGAACCATACAGTTCAACCAATATTGCCTCCAAACCTGATGAAGCAATCGCTAATCTCATGTATAGCTGTTTCAGTTCGACCACTTTTCAAACCCCTAGGCATATCGCCAAGACATGCCCAGTGGGGAAGAACTGCTTCAAGAAGATGCCTTTCGACCGGTGCCTAGATGAGCTCTCTGGAAGCAGCGACATGGTGAAAACTGCCGCACCATGTCTGCAAGAAGTTACAGTCGACTGCAGAAAGCCGCTGCAGACTAGCCACCTGCTCCGCCTGCTCCGCCTGCTGCGGAACCACGGATCGACCGCGTGAGATCAGACCCACCGAGTCCTGTCAGGTGAACGCCTTGAAGACGGCCAAGACCTTCGTGGTCAAAGACTTGAAACGACGCTCAGAAGGCGAAGGCTGAAACGGAGCAGAAACAGACGCAAGTGTTTCGGTGTGTTCTTTTTTTTGAGTGAAAGAGAGGTGTATCAAGGTGTATCACCTAAGTTAGCTGGTTGTTTCAAAGGCGTTTTCTCCCAAGAAAAAGCACTTAAGCACTTTGCAAACTTTTGGGTCTGGTGAGATATCAAAACTTTAGTCCCAGAGTCTCACTGGAATCTATGAGTGGCTTGATGATGCGTGCATGGTGTGTCACCATCCCCTGTAGTGTTTGGCATAAGCATCTCATGTGCTGCATATCAAGCAGCTGGAGGGGCTGGGGGGAAGTGGTGGATGTGACATGCCAAATCGCCAAATCAATTCATTAGCAGTTGAACATTCTACCGGCTCAAGCGCTGTTCCAAGGAGATGTGCTGCGTGGGCTGACGAGCGTAGGGAATGACTTGCTAAAGTTTCTCACTGACACCTTCCCTGGAGTCTCAGCGCAAGACCAAGGTGCCGCCGCGATGTTGACAGGAGCAGGTTACCACTTTGGGCAACTCTTGTGCAACGCCAGTTGCACCAGGCAGCTCTTTGAATGTACTTGATACATGTGTTTGGACGGATCTCCAGGTTGTGCTGTAGATTAGTTGCCCCTCTACAAGTGGTAGTGGGCGAGAATCCACAGTCTGGCCTCTTTAGTCATGTTGTTGGACTCATGATTCCGGCTCCTCATGCAAGGAGGGATTGAACAGCTTATGAAACAGTTCAACGTCCTTGACATGGCCAACTCATTCTTGAAGATGGCGCCAAATCTGCAGTTGTTTTCAACAGGCCCTGCATTTTGAGTTGTGAGATATCTGACCCCAGACTCCTGAATGTTTGTCAAAGATTGCAGTGTTGCGCCAATCAAAGTCAAGTACGTTGTGTGTTTTGGTGCCTGGCATCGCTACTTGGAACCCGGGCATCGCTACGAAGGGAGCAAGGACGCTACGAGGGGCTCCTGGCCTTACTACTAGGAGCAAGAGGACGCTGCTAGTTAGGAAGATCCCAAAGTCAGCCGAGCCCGGGCTGAGCCCCCCCCCACAACATCTGGTCCCCTCACCGGTGGATCATCTTCAGGTCATCCATATTTATGAGGATTGCTATGATGGATTGAAGTCCTTCTTCAAGAAGGTGATGAAGATCTTCCAAAAAGCGCCTCGAGATGTTCGGGGGAAAACGCCCTCTGCTATTTTACAGCTTTTTGAGCCAGCGTTTCCGAGCCGAGTCGTTACATTTTGTGGGATAAATCTCTGAAGATTGTGCCTATGTGAAACAATCAGCACGAATTGGGCAGGCAAGAGCAAGAGCTGTCTTTGTTAAGGATAACCCTGCACAAAGATTGCCAGCGGTGGCAAGAAGTGTAGCGTGGGAGAATTGGGTCATCTCGACGTTGCAGAGTCACCGGCAGCAAATCCGACCCCTGGTCCGAGGCCACGAATGGTCCCTTAAAGCTTCCTCGGAACAAAGATGGAGAGCACTGCGCGTTGAAGTGGGACATGACGATCTTCTTCTACACGGACTGTGGCTTGCGAGCATACAGGATTGGCAATGAATGTGGCAGGTCCTTTTTTGTTCGTACAATCACAACCACTATCCACTAGACATATCAGCAATGCCACAAAGTGCCTTCTGCCACTAGCTGTTTGGTAGTAGGGTGTTTTCACAAGTTCTTCATGCCGTAGCAACTGCACCTATCTTATGAGCGGAGAACAAAGGGGCAGAAGAAGGCCAGCTTTTGATAGAAACAAGACATTTAAGTCGTATGAAGGTTTTGGGAGTGATCACGAAAGGTAGCCCTTTAGGGGATACCTTGAGTTTGTCTTGCGAAGCAAGTGTTGGGACGTCCGGGTCTAATAATTGATCGCTCAATTCAGACCCCCCCCCTGAAAAGTAGAGCCTACCTGTACAGGGTTCCACTCCAACAGCCGATATAGTGTGTCCATACTTGACTGCTTCAAGACTCAAAGAGCAAGAGGATAAGACTCTGCGCATAAAAGACACTAGCGGTCTGCACCTCTACCGTGTACGCCCTAGTCACTCTTTCAGTGGTAGCGGAGCAGTGATCCTGGAAGACCCAGGTGAGCTCCTTTCCTAGGCATAGAATTGCTTGTGGGCAAACGGCCATGGATTGGATTGACGACTGGGAAGAGCCTGATGCGGATGTGGCTTATGAGCCAGCAGCCTACGTGAATAGGCATGTGAGAAGAGAACCAGCAGCGATAGCAATGACAACACAGGTCACTACAAAGGTGCCCCCATCTTATGATGGAAAGACTTCATGGTTTTCCTATGAGGATGCCATAGACGATTGGTGTGATATCACCGAGCTGGAAGATGAGAAGAGAGGACCAGCATTGAGAAACCGACTAGAAGGAGAAGCAGCTGTATACAAGCGAGTTTTAGACAGAGATGCATTGAAGGCTAATGAGCCACCAGGAGCTGGAGTAGATTACTTCAAGAGAGTACTACGACCATATTTTGTGAAAGGATCAACCAATGTATTCCTATACAGGTTTATGCAACTCGTGCGATTCAATCGAGGATCAGCCGACATGATGAAATGGATGACAAGATTCCAGATTTTACTCCAAAGGCTTATGAGCAGTTGGATGGACATGTTAGAACCAGTCACTCAAGCACATCCACAAGTCCTAGCTCAGATGCAGGCAGATGCAGCGTTGACTGGAGTAGCACCAACGGCAGAAAGGATTCAGGAAATCATGCAGACCATGAATGGCAATATGAGAACTTTTCATCAGAATGAATTTCCTCTAGGAGAAAATCTCATTGCCTTACTCATGCTGTCACTTGCAGATTTGTCTCAGGACCAGCGAAACACTTTGACTTCTTTGATGACTCATCGTGGCAGGGTCCTGCAGCAATACACTACAACAGAGTTGAGGACAGTTTTCATTGAGATGTTCTGCACGACAAAGACTTCAGTAGACAATCCTTTGATGCAGCCGACAGGTGCTGGAGGTAGAAGATCATTTCTCGTACTAGACGAAGGAGAACTCGATGGTACATATGGCTATTGGGCCGAAGATGAAGAAGATGGAACAGAAGGATTTTTAGATGCCCTGGACGATGTCTTTTGGGTATATGATGATCAAAACTTCTCGTGGTTCCAAAGGAGATTCCAAGGAAGAAGAGCCAGAAAAGGCAAAGGAAAAGGAAGAAGAAAAGGAAAAGGTAAAGGAAGATCAGGCCGCAGATTCTTCAGACCTCGTGGAAAAGGAAAAGGAAAGAGACGAGGTAAAGGCCATTTTGCTGATGAGCAACAGACAACTTTTCCAGATGAATACTTTGAAGAGAATCCTTATGAGGACACTTGGGAGTCAAACCAAGGAGCATATGATGCCATTCTTGCCGAAGATATGAATGACTATCTTCAAGGAGAATATGATGATGCCAATGACTTTTGGCAACAGCTTGAAGAAGCATGTTTTTTCCACAAAGGAAAAGGAAAAGGCAAGAGAAAAGGCAAGAAAGGAAAAGGAAAAGATAAAGGAGATGGCAAACAAGGTGCAAACTATGCAAATCAACAACAGCCACGTTCTTTGACTGCACCTTCAAGATCTTCACAAGCATCAGGAGGTCAACAAGGTTTCTTTGCACATTGTGTGACAGCAGCAGCTGAAGTCCATGACAGTGAGGTGAACTTGCTGTCAGGCATGATGACCTCATGTCAAGATGAAGCTGACTGCGCGGTCAACAATGGTGAGACGATCTTCAATGGCATGAGTGCCCCTGTGAGGTACTCTTTGTCAAAGGAGATGCTCACAAAGGCTCCTGATGGCTTTGCGCTTATGAGCGCTGAGGAAGAAGTGAAGGAGATGCAGGCCATTTCATTTTTGACTGAGAATCGCTTCCCGCCGACTATTGCAATCCTGGACATTGGATGCACTAGAGCTATGGGATCAAGGCGAGCAGTCGACCATTTTTGCAACTATGTCGACAATCACCCAGATTGTGGATTATGGTACTCTTTTGAGGCTACCAAGAGCAAGTTTTACTTTGCAAATTCCCAGAAGGCTACTTGCTCTCAGAAACTGGTGATTTACATGTATGATCGTGCATGGACGATCCACCATACAGAGTTCGACATAGTGGAAGAAGGAGAAGTCCCGTTGCTTATGAGCTTGCCACAGATGAGGAACTTAGGCTTTGAACTCAGGCTGACACCTCAACATGCTTATCTGACATCGGTGCCTCTTGGTATCAAATATTTGGAGTTGAAGGTTGCAGCCAGTACTCATCTTGTCTTGGACTTCCAAGATATTGCATGGTATCTGTCTGACGTGAATTTGCAGACTCGGCGCGAGAAGAGTTTTTACTCTCACTTCACTCACTATGAATATTTCTGTTGACCACAATAGTGATGAAGATGTAGCTGAACATGCATATCCTGTGGTTGACTACTGGGAAGTAGATGTTCACACGACAAAACTGATACGTCACCACAAGGATTATAGAAAGATTCTTTTTCCAGCAACTAAGTCCTGTCCTGTAGACACTGACTTACTGGAAGACTTGCGACTGACAATCATCAAGAAGAAGAAAGGAGGAGAAGAGATCAAGAAGCAAGATGATTGGCGCAAGGCAAAATGGAAGGACCTACAAATTGGCTATGAATGGCGTGGTAGAACAATTTTTAAGTTCAAACCAGATGCCAAAATTCCAGATCTAAAGATCAGGAAGGCTGGCATTGAGCACCGTGGCATTGGTGATCCTGATGCAGTGGTGCGCTCCTCCTCAGAGAAGGTTCCCATTGCAAAGGACAGGGAACCAGGCTTCTCGTCAGAGAAGGAAGGTGCACCATCAAGTGCCGCGGAAAAGCCCGTGCCGCCAAAGTTTCGGTATACTTCCAAGGGTTTTGATCCATTTTGGAAGGGACACAAGTCAAAACCATCTGAGCCTCAGAATGATTTAAAGGGTGATGATCTTGAGGAGTATGCTCCCTCAGAACCACCTGAGAGGCCAGAAGGTGAACTTGTAGAAATTCCTAAAGCATCAAAAGGACCATCAAGTGATAAACATGAACCACTTGAACCAGGTGATGGCGCTCTTGAGCCTAGGCGGATTTCAATCCCATTACCTGGTAGTGAAGTTGTTGCAATGACACCGGCATATAGGAAGATGTTGCAGAGACTGGAGGACAAGGTAGAGCTTTATAAGCTTCATGTGAAGCACTACCATATGAGTCCTACTCAGTTCCGTAGACGTGTTTCTATGTTGAAGCTTCCTGACTCTGTTTTAGAGAAGTATGAATCAGTTGTCAGGAACTGCCGTGTTTGTAACACTTCAGTGGCACCTCCGCCACGAGCCAGAGTCTCCGGTATTAGAGCTTCATGTTTTGGTGATGTTGTTTTTGCTGATCATTGTGAGGTTGAACTTCACAAGAACAAGTATATCATTCTACTTGTTCTTGATAGTGCCACAAATCTTCTCTGGGCTACGGCGCAGAAAGACCTCATAGATCAAACCACCATCCAAGCATTGAGGCAGTGGTCTGATGAGAACAACTGTGTTCCGAAGGCCATCGTAGGAGACGAAGCCTTTTTCACCGATGCTTTTGTTGAATACTACAGGTTTTATGGTATACAACAATGTCCTTGTGGGCCAAGAACTCCTTGGCCAAACCGAGCAGAGACAGCTGTACGTTTGTTCAAACGTATGTGGCATGTTATGAAGGTAGATCTGGATGACCCACGTTTTCGTGGTGTTACGGTCAGAGAAGTGGTCAAGAAGGTAGTTTGGGCAAGAAATTGTCAGTTGACTATCAGTGGATACTCACCAATAGAGATAGCAACTGGAAGACGTCCACCAGATCTTTTTGACCTTGAGACCGCAAGCCCTGAGCAATTGTCAGCTGATGCAGCCGCACAAGATCGTACAAATTTGGAACTACAACGTGTGGCTTTGAGAGCTCATCAAGAAGCACGACAAGCTCAGGACCTTCGAGCAGATCTTGCAAGAAGGACTATGCCAAGTGACGGTCCTTATTTCCAAGGAGAGAAGGTTTTTATTTGGACTCAGGATTCATCAAAGTTCAAGGATAAAGGACGTTGGGTTCGTGCCACAGTACTTGGACAAGAAGGAGCTATGGTCCAAGCCAACACTGGTAAGGCAGTAGTACGTGTGAATCAGTCAAAGGTTAGAGGTGATCACGATGAGTGGCATGATGTTTCCATACCGGCATTAGACGATGAGAATCCGGAGAACTTACGTGAAGATCACGAACTGTATGTTGATGCCGAATTTGGAGAACAGTCCTTTTTCTTTTGTAATGATGATCATCCTGATGTTGTTGAGTTACTTCATGGAAACAGTGGATTATCTTGGTTCCTTTCAAGGAATGGTGTTAGAGTTGCATCTCCTATGGATTTCAAGGCAGGATACAACTTTTCCACTCTGAAGGGTCAAGATGGTATTTGGCAGCAACTTGAGAGTTTGCAGCCCCACTGTATAGTGATCAACAACCCTTCTCCCAAACAGAACAGAGCTTCGATTTGGTTGCT